CATGTTAACCTATTGTGGTTTGTTGAGTTTAGGGAATTAGTGAGCCAAGAAGAGAATCCAATAAATGTAGGAGACTGTGCTTCCACAGCTCGGACTGTGTGTTGTGAAAAGTGCAGTGTGAGCTATATAGAAGGGTAGAGCATTGAAATATGTTTTGTAATGGAGTGCATGCTATTAAATATTAGAAACAATGCCCAGGCGCGCTGGCTCACGCCTGTAATCCCAACAGTTTTGTAGGCCAAGGCAGGTGGATCACCAGAGATCAGGAGTTCGAGACCAGCCTGGCCAACTTGGTGAAACCCCGTCTCTACTAAAATTACAAAAATTAGCCGGTTGTAGTGGTGCACGTCTGTCATCCCAGCTATTTGGGAGGCTGAGACAAGAGAATCACTTGAACCCAGGAGGCAGAGGGTGCAGTAGCTGAGGTCACGCCACTGCACTCAACCTGGGCGACAGAGCAAGACCCTCTCTCAAAAAAAAAAAAAAAAAAAAAAACAGAAACAACAACCTTGTTCCTACTTTCAAGAAGTATGTTAAAGAATAAATTATTGCTGGCTTCTTTGAATCCCCTGATCTCTCTATAATAGTATAAAGAGAATTATCTGAAGAGTAGTAATGCAGTGCCAGGCTCAGTGGCTCACGCCTGTAATCCTAGCATTTTGGGAGGCTGAGGCCGGGGGATCACAAGGTCAGGAGTTGAAGACCAGCCTGGCCAACATAGTGAAAGCTGGTCTCTACTAAAAATACAAAAATTAGCAGGGTGTGGTGGTGGGCGTCTGTAGTCCCAGCTACTCAGGAGGCTGAGGTGGGAGGATCACATGGTCCGGAGGTGGAGACCAGCCTGGCCAACATAGTGAAACCTCATCTCTACTAAAAATACACAAATTAGCTGGGCATGGTAGCGGGTGCCTGTAGTCCCAAGTCTGAGTGTTTTACAGTAGATACATTACTAGTCTTTTTTTTTTTTTTTTTTTTTGAGACAGAGTCTCGCTCTGTTGCCCAGGCTGGAGTGCAATGGCACGATCTCAGCTCACTGCAACCTCCGCCTCCTGGGTTCAAGTAATTCTCCTGTCTCAGCCTCCCAAGTAACTGGGATTACAAGCATGTGCCACGATGCCCAGCTAACATACTGGGATAGGCCAGACCTGGTAGCTCAAGCCTATAATCCCAGCATTTTGGGAGGCCAAGGCAGGCAGATCACCTGAGGTCAAGAGTTGGAGACCAGCCTGGTCAACATGGTAAAACCCTGTCTCTACTAAAAATACAAAAATTAGCTGGGCGTGGTGGTGCATGCCTATAATCCCAGCTTCTTGGGAGGCTGAGGCAAGAAAATCACCTGAACCCAGGAGGTGGAGGTTGCAGTGAGCTGAGATGGAGCCACTGCCCTCCAGCCCAGGCAAAGAGAGAGACTCTGTCTTTAAAAACAATAAATAAGGCTGGGTGCAGTGGCTCATGACTGTAATCATAGCACTTTGGGAGGCCGAGGTGGGCAGATCACCTGAGGTCAGGAGTTCGAGACCAGCCTGGCCAACATGGCGAAACCCCATCTCTACTAAAATTACAAAAATTAGAAGGGTATGGCGGCAGGGGCCTGTAATCCCAACTACTCAGGAAGCTGAGGCAGAAGAATTGCTTGAACCTGGGAGGTGGAGCTTGCAGTGAGCCAAGATTGAGCCACTGCACTCCAGCCTGGGCAACAAGAGTGAGACTCTGTTTAAAAAAAACAAAAAAGAAGCCTGTAATACAGAGGAGACCGATCATGAGGTCAGAGATGAACTCCTGGCTGAACGTAATCTACTTGAACCTGGGGGAGGGTGGGAGGTTGCCAGTGAGCCGAGATTGGCCTGCCCAGCTGGCCACCTCCCCAGGCCTGGGGAGGCGGACCAATGAGGGTGCACGCCTGTGATCCCAGCTACTTGGGAGGCTGAGGTAGGAGAATCACTTGAACCTGGGAGGTGGAGGTTGCAGTGAACCAAGATCGTGCCACTGAGCTCTGACCTGGGCAAAAAGAGCAAGACTCCACTTAAAAAATAAATAAATAAATAATAAATAAAGTATGGAATCGTCTTGTAGCAGGACGAGTCGCAGACAAAATCCCTCAGGCACTGAGATAGTGAAGGGAGTGGCTTTAATCAGCTGGGAGCATCCGCAGGCTAGCGTCTTCAAATTCAAGCTCATCAGGTGCTTAACTTCTGTCCCTTTTAAGGTCTCACAACTCTAAGGGGATCCGCGTGAGAGGGTTCTGATCGATTGAGCAAGCAGGGGGTACGTGACAGGGGCTGCGAGCACCGGTGGTCAGAGTGAAACAGAACAGAACGGGAGGTTTCACAATGTCCTTCCATACAATGTCTGGAATCTATAGATAACATTACCGGTTAGGTCAGGGGTCGATCTTTAACTACCAGGCTTAGATCAGGCAGGCCCAGGCCTGGTTTCAGGTCTGGTTCCTAGGTGCTGGGCTACCTACCTTTTGTTTTGCTTTCCTTTCCTTTATTGGGTATAAAACAATATGAGAGGGTCTGCCTCTCTTCTCTCATTTCCCCCCTTTGAGACTCTCAGTTTTTATTAGTGGGAGTTCTCACTCATATTTTCGCTACTTATGTCTTCTTGTGCAATAGATTGATAGTGATTCATCTAGTACACTTGTGCTGAAGCATTTTGGTGAGCTAATGTAACGATTAAGTTTTTTATCATTTGAAGAAGTACAGGTAGCAAACAAGGGAGCCGTAAGCAAGTTCCTATTACTTTTATAACTCCTAGGATAAGAGTTTTAAAGCCTCCTGGCTGGGCGCGGTGGCTCAAGCCTGTAATCCCAGCACTTTGGGAGGCCGAGACGGGCGGATCACGAGGTCAGGAGATCGAGACCATCCTGGCTAACACGGTGAAACCCCGTCTCTACTAAAAAATACAAAAAACTAGCCGGGCGAGGTGGCGGGCACCTGTAGTCCCAGCTACTCAGGAGGCTGAGACAGGAGAGTGGCCCGAACCCGGGAGGCGGAGCTTGCAGTGAGCTGAGATCCGGCCACTGCACTCCAGCCTGGGCGACAGAGCGAGACTCCGTCTCAAAAAAAAAAAAAAAAAAAAAAAAAAAAAAAAAAAAAAAGAGCAGGTTAGTGCTTTAAGAAAAACCTGCTGTATTTTTACTTTAATGTCCAGTTCACAGAAAAACTGGATGATACCTTTTTTTTTTTTTTTTTTTTGAGAAAATGGTCTCGATCTCCCGACCTCGTGATCCGCCCGTCTCGGCCTCCCAAAGTGCTGGGATTACAGGCTTGAGCCACCGCGCCCGGCCTGGATGATACCTTTTTAACTTTAGCTAATATGTTTATACACAGAATTTTTTTTTACAATTAATGTATTAAAACTTGCTTAAACTTTTAAAACAATAATTCTTTTAAACTTTTAATGTAGGTAAAAATCCACATTCTTATGCCTCTTTATAATCCTTTTACCAAAGATATATTTTACTTTTCTTATACACCTTGCACATAAACTGTTTCTTCGATAGTACCCAGGAGACCTTATTTTATTTTATTTTTTTTTTTGAGACAGAGTCTCACTCTGTTGCCCAGGCTGGAGTGCAGTGGCCGGATCTCAGCTCACTGCAAGCTCCGCCTCCTGGGTTTATGCCATTCTCCTGCCTCAGCCTCCCAAGTAGCTGGGACTACAGGTGCCCGCCACCTCGCCCAGCTAATTTTTTGTATTTTTTTTGTAGAGATGGGGTTTCACCGTGTTAGCCAGGATGGTCTCGATCTCCTGACCTCGTGATCCGCCCGTCTCGGCCTCCCAAAGTGCTGGGATTACAGGCTTGAGCCACCACAGCCGGCCAAGGAGGCCTTATTACTTTTAAATTGTATAATATTTTTTGCATAAAATTTTTTTATAACATTTTTTCTTTCACGACTTTCACAGACAATTCTTTGACATGTCTTAATTTTCTGACTTATTACAAACATTTATTTCTTTTTTTTTTTTTTTTTTTTTTTTGAGATGGAGTCTGCTCTGTCGCCCAGGCTGGAGTGCAGTGGCGTATCTCGGCTCACTGCAAGCCCGCCTCCGTTCATGCATTCTCCCGCCTCCCGTAGCTGGACTACAGCGCCCCCCCACCCCGCTAATTTTTGTATTTTTTTTAGTAGAGACGGGGTTTAACGGTGTTAGCCAGGATGGTCTCGATCTCCTGACCTTGTGATCCGCCCGTCTCGGCCTCCCAAAGTGCTGGGATTACAGGCTTGAGCCACCGCGCCCGGCCAAAACATTTCTTTCTTTAAACAACCAGTTATTTTTTTTCTTTTTTTTTTGAAGACAATCTTTTTTTTTTTTAAAGTGAACTTTCTTTATGTCTGTGGACTAGACTGTCTAAGACCACAAGATTAGAAGTTACTATAATACATGTTATACTGTTAACTTTTAGCAAACTTTACTTTTGTTGAAAACCTTGTAAGTTTGAGATTTCAATTATCCTTTGCTATTAATAAGACCTTGTTTAGTCTAAATTAACTTAGAATTGGTATAGATGGCCTTTTTTTTTTTTTTTCTGTTAGCAAAGCAGCTGCCGCTACAGATTGAACGCATCTGGGCCATCCACGGGTTACTGGGTTAAGGATTTTTAATAGGAAGGCCTCAGTGCTTTGGGGATACGCCCTTGTTTACACTGACAACAAAGTGGTATTAGAATGTTACCGGGTTACAGAGATACCTTTAATTATCAATTATAGGTTTTTAAATTTACCTTGGCTTTTAAAGGAATAGGGTATACTGTTTTTTTCTTAACTACTTGTGTATTTCTCTCTTTCTTTTCCTTTCTCTCTTTGACTTTCCTTTTGCCTCTGTCTCTTCCTGTCTTTCTCTCTGTTGGTCTTTCCTCGCCTCTGCCAGCCGCTTATGCTGCTCTTCTCTTAACTACTGTGCAGGGGAAGGCATTCTAAAACCAGCTGTAACTAAGTTTCTATGTATGGAAACTGTTCTGGGTGCCCTGGCTTACAGGTTACCTTGTGCCATACCTTTGAAACAAGGGACACCTGTCCAGGCTTCCTTCTGATGGCCAACCCACCTCTAACGCTGGCCAGTCTATTTCACACAAAGTTCTAAGTTCTCCTGGTGTCATAGTAACACCACAATCTCCCTTAAATCCTTTCTTGAAAATTTTTGACATAGTTCCTAGTGGGGTGGGCTTACTTTGTGCCTGACCCATGTCTCCTTGAGACAAAACACCATGCTTACACCACACGCACACCACAAAACAAAGAACGGGTGAAAAGGGTACACACACACACTTTTACAGTTTACGCCAAACCAGAATCAAAACCAAAATCAGAGTATCAAGAAATCCAAGCCAGGTCAAAACCAAAACCAAAGTATCAAGCAATCCAAGTCAAGTCAAAAACAAAAACCAAAGTGCCGGTACAGGCACACTGGGTGATCAGGCCACGCTTCCACTCAAGTGGAATAGGCAAGTTCCCAAGACCAGTCCTGTCAAGCAATTCAAACCAAGTCAAAACCAAAACCAAAGTGCCAATAAAGGCACGCCGTGGCATGCCGTGGGTGATCAGGCCATGCTTCCACTCAAATGGAGTGGGCAAGTTACAAAGACTAGTCTTACCAAGTTTTAGATGTCTGAACTGTAAGTGCAAGTTCCTTGCCAGTGTTCAGCCACTGCGTTGATCCTCCACGGGGGCCTGCCACACACTGCTCTGGGGAGGCGTCCCACCAGGACAAATGCCTACCCAGGAGCGCTCTCAGGATCCGCGTCGCTCGGGCTGGTTGCAGTCCCCCGCAGGGATGTTCCAAAGGGCAGGCTAAAGCCGCCTAAGGAGCTGCCTCGACTGTCTGTTCATCACCTCGCTTCCCGATCAGGGAACCAAGAAATGTAGCAGGACCAGCCGCAGACAAAACCCCTCAGACACCGAGATAGTGAAGGGAGTGGCTTTAATCCGCTGGGAGCATCGGCCTGCTAGCGTCTTCAAATCCGAGCTCGTCAGGTGCTTAACTTCTGTCCCTTTTAAGGGCTCACAACTCTAAGGGGGTCCGCATGAGAGGGTCCTGATCGATTGAGCAAGCCAGGGGGTACGTGACGGGGGCTGCGAGCACTGGTGGTCGGAGTGAAACAGAACAGAACGGGAGGTTTCACAATGTCCTTCCATACAATGTCTGGAATCTATAGATAACATAACCGGTTAGGTCAGGGGTCGATCTTTAACTACCAGGCTTAGATCAAGCAGGCCCAGGCCTGGTTTCCGGTCTGGTTCCTTGGCTTCAGGTCTGGTTCCTAGGTGCCCAGCTACCTGCCTTTTGTTTTGCTTTCCTTTCCTTTTTTGAGTATAAAACAATATAAAACAACATGAGAGGGTCTGTCTCTCTTCTCTCAGTCTGGTCCTCTCTTTTTTAAACAACATAAAACATGGGTATACAGAAGTCTTTGGTAATTCAGGAGCACTGATGTTTAAAACAAGAGCGCAGCTGAAGCTTATCTTTGTTTAAAAAACCATTCGGTCTTGGGATAACAAGATGATGTAAGTATGGCTTAAAGGAGAATCATTTCAAAAACAAAGCAAAACAAGGAAATGAAAAATAAAATGTATGGCTGGGTGCGGTGGCTCACGCCTGCAGTCCCAGCATTTTGGGAGGCCAAGGCAGGCGGATCACGAGGTCAGGAGTTTGAGAACAGCCTGGCCACCACAGTGAAACCACGTCTCTACTAAACAAAAAAATGCAGGCTGGGTGTGGTGCCTCATGCCTGTAATTCCAGCACTTTGGGAGGCCAAGGCTGGCAGATCACGAGGTCAGGAGATTTAGATCAGCCTGACCAACATGATGAAACCCCATCTCTGCTAAAAATACAAAAATTAGCCGGGTATGATGGCAGGCCCCTGTAATCCCAGGTACTCGGGAGCCTGAGGCAGGAGAATTGCTTGTACCCGGGAGGCAGAGGTTGCAGTGAGATGAGATTTCTCCACTGCACTCCAGCCTGGGCGACAGACTGAGACTCCATCTCAAAAAAGAAAAAGAAAAAGAACATTTAAAAAATACTTCCGTGTGATGAACTTCAAAAACAGAAAAAGGGTAGAAAATTTAAAAAGAATCTTTGTATAAACAGAAAAAATGATTTTCAGAGGACTTTGAAAACTTTTTTTTCTAAATTTTATATTGCTTTTAGAATTATCTTTCCTCATTGAAATTTTTTTTTTTTTTAATATAACTAGTGAAACTGTCCCCCAGGGTTAACAAGAATTCACACCTGGTTCTGGACAGAAATATAGTTATAACTGTGAAAAGAAAGTCCATCTCAGGACCCCACGCTGCCTCCGGCAAACCTGCCTCCCCCTTTATTCCTAAGCAAGATTGCTAGGAAGATAACTGGAAGCTACTTACCTTCCTCACCATTTCCCCCACAGGGATGTTCCTTGGGGACCTCAAGATGTTTACTTTAAAATGGTTCTTTTGAATTTTACCTGGCGAGGTAAGTTGGTAGCTCATCTTTACAGGTGTGGGACAAAGGACAGAATTCAAAGTCAGCCCTCTGGTGACCTGTGACAAACATCTATCTGATTGCTTCCTCTGCCCGATTGTTTGTTTATTTATTTATTATTTATTATTTTTGGCTTATCTCTCCAACACAAATGCCCTATTGTTTATGCAAAAATGTAGATTCACTGAGCCAGACTAAGGCACAAGCGACTATTCCTCTACCCACCTCTCACATGTAAATTGTGTATTCAGGGAAAGGCCGATCAAGGACTGAAGAAAATGCAAACTTTTGACCAGGCACAGTAGTTCCTGTCTGCAATCCCAGCAATTTGGGAGGCCCAGGTGGGTGGATCCCTTCAGGCCAGGAGGTCAAGACCAGCCTGGCCAACACGGTGAAACCCTGTCTCTACTAAAAATGCAAAATTAGCCGGGTGTGCTGGCGGGCGCCTGTAATCCCAGCCACTGGGGAGACTGAGGCAGGAGAATCCCTTGAAGCCAGGAGGCCGAGGTTACAGTGAGCCAAGGTGGTGCCACTGCACTCCAGCCTGGGCAACAGAGAGAGACTCCATCTTAAAAAAAAAAAAAAAAAAAAAAAAGAATAAAACCTTGTGTCTCGTTTCCTATGACCTGGAAGCCCCCACTTCGAGTTGTCCTGCCTTTCTAGACCCAACCAATGTACATCTTACACACATTGATTGACGTTTCACGTCTTTCTTTTTCTTTTTTGTTTCTTTTCTATTGTTTCTAACCCTCAGTATTCATATCATGTCTCTCTAAAATGTAAACACCAACCTATGCCATGATCGCGTGGGGCACATATACTCAGGACCTCGTGAGGCTGGTTCTCAGGCATGTCCTTGAATCTTGGCAAAACATCCAGCCTGGACAACATGGTGAAACCTCGTTTCTACTAAAAATACAAACATACAAACATTAGCTGGGCGTGGTGGTGCACACCTGTAATCCTGCCTACTCAGGAGGCTGAGGCTGGAGAATCGCTTGAACTCGAGAGAAGGAGTTTGCAGTGAGCTGAGACGGCGCCACTGCACTCCAGCCTGGGCGACAGAGAGACGCTCCATCTTAAAAATACAAAACAGCAAACCTTGGCAAAATAAACTTTCTAAATTAGTTGAGACCTGACTCAGATACTTTCGGGTTCTTGTAACTAAGCATTAATCAGGCTGCACTTTAGCCCACTTCCTTGTAGCTGAAAGTCCTGTAGCCATAGATACTGACCATTTGCACCCCCATTGTTCCCATAGATAGGATCTCTGACGTTAGAATCATAAAGCTTTGTTTAAGAATTGCTTAAGATGTAGGCCGGGCGTGGTGGCTCATGCCTGTAATCCCAGCATTTTGGGAGAATGAGGCAGGCAGGTCACTTGAGGTGGAGTTTGAGACCAGCCTGGCCAATATGGTGAAACCTTGTCTCTACTAAAAATGCAAGGTCGGGCGCAGTTGCTCACGCCGGTAATCCCAGCACTTTGAGAGGCTGAGGTGGGCGGATCACCTGAGGTCAGGAGTTCAAGACCAGCTGACCAACATGGAGAAACCCTGTCTCTACTGAAAATACAAAATTAGCCGGGCGTGGTGGTGCGTGCACGTAATCCTAGCTACTCTGGAGGCTGAGGCAGGAGAATCGATTGAACCTGGGAGGCAGAGGTTGCAGTGAGCTGAGATTGCACCACTGCACTCCAGCCTGGGCAACAAGAGCAAAACCCGTCTCAAAAAAAAAAAAAAAAGAATTGCTTAAGAAGATGTTTTTCAGATTCTGAATTCCAGCAGAATGGCTGACACTAACTAACCGGTTTAAAGCCCTTCACAGAGGAACCAAGTCAACGTGAGAATCCAGGTGTCTCTCCGTCTCCAACCTGCATTTCTCAACCAATCAGTGATGTCCACACCTTGGTCCACTTCAAACCGCTTAAGATCCCCAGCCCCAGACTCCTGAGGGAAGCAGCTTTAAGGTGTCCTCTCCTCTCTGCATTCCACAGCCTTAGGACCACGCCTTTCTCTCTCTGCTGCAACCCTCAATCGGTGTTTGGACTTGGGCATCAGGCAACAGACCTGTTAAGGTCACACCAGCAAAAGTTGAGCTAATGGTGTTATTTCTGTCAAGCTATTAAGCCTCTAAATATCTTTCTCAGGCAAGACTTCGTTGTCCTGGTTCATACTGAAAGTAGTGCAAGGGTACACCCCTCTGTAGCCGGCCAGAATATGCACTTCAAATGCACCTCTTGGCATAGGATGATTATTATTATTTTATTTATTTATTTATTTTTTGAGATAGAGTCTTGCTCTGTGTGCCTAGGCTGGAGTGCACGCACGATCTCGGCTCACCACAATCTCCACCTCCTGGGTTCAAGTGATTCTCCTGTCTCAGCCTCCCCAGTAGCTGGGATTATAGGCATGCACCACCACGCCTGGCTATTTTGCATTTTTAGTAGAGACAGGGTTTCTCCATGTTGATCAGGCTGGTCTCGAACTCCTGATCTCAGGTGATCCACCTGCCTCTGCCTCCCAAAGTGTTGGGATTACAGGTGTGAGCCACCGCGCCTGGCCTTTTTTTTTTTTTTTTTTTTTTGAGACAGAGTCTCATTCTGTCCCTGAGGCTGGAGTGCAGTGGCGTGATCTCGGCTCACTGCAACCTCCGC